CAAAAAACAAAACAAAGAAATAAAAATTTCTTGGAACCAGCAGTTAGCATAATGGCTATGTCGCTGGACTCCCACGTAGTCGACCGCGGTTGGCATCCTGGACCCGGTGGCTTAAAATTCACGCCGGGCGCGTGTGCGTGCGTGCCCAAGATCCCGAGAGGAGAATGAAGGAGAAGGAATTGTGGCGTGGCCATCCCCCCTGGGGGGTGATTTCTCACTTTCTATCTCTCTGTCTCTGCCTGTCTGGCAAGCACACGCACCCTATAGCAAAAACCTCTCCAAAGAAAAAAAGAAAAATTTCTTAAACTGGAAAAAAAAGAAAAACATTTGGCAGGACCAGCAGATGGCATAGGGGTTTCATTACTATACTCCCACATGGCCAACCATGGTTCAAATCCTGGACCTGGTGACTAAAAAAATCATACCAGGCACCTGTGCGTATGTGCCCAAGATCCTGGGAGGAGAATGAAGCCGAAGGGGTGTGGCCATCTCCCTGGGAGGTGATTTCTCACTTTTCCCCTCATTCTCTCTGTCTCTCTGTTCTGCGAGTGCACATGTCCTAAGGCCAAAACCTCTAAAATAATAATAAAAAATACATTTGAAACTGTGGGCCAGATTGAACACCAGATTTTTTTTTTTTTAATGAAGTTTTTTGCTATAGAGCAGGTACATTTGCCAGAAAGACAGAGACAGAAAATGAGAAATCAACCCCCAGGGGGAATAGCCACACCACAATCCCCTCTCCTTGAGATTTTAGGCATGCATCCACATATACCCTGAGTGAGTTTCAAGTCACTGGGTCTGGCACTTGAACTGCAGTTAGCCATGTGGGAGTCCAGCACCTTTTTTTTCTTTTCCCCACTTTGTTTGTTTATTTATTATTTATTTTACGGAAGTCCAGCACCTTAACCACTGGGCCACCTGCTTGTCCAGAACACTAGATTTTTCTTTTTCTTTCTTTCTTTCTTTCTTTTTTTTTTTTTTAACCATAGGGTGGGTGCCACCACACCCCCCTTTTTTTTTAAAGATATATTTATTCAATATTATTTGTTGTTTGTTTATTTATTTATTTATTGGAGAGGTTTTTGCTACAGGGCACGTGCGCTCACCAGACAGAGAGAGACAGAGAGATAGAAAGCAAGAAACCACCCCCCCAGGGGAGATGGCTGTGCCACAATCCCTTCTTCATTCTCTTCTCGGGATCTTGGGCACGTATGTACATGCACCCGGTGTGAGTTTAAGCCACCAGGTCCAGAATGCGAACCGCAGTTGACTACGTTGGAGTCCAGCAACATAACCATTACGCTAACTGCTGGTCCCTGGTTGTTTATTTTTGAAGAAGTTTTTTTTTCTATAGGGTGCACTCACCAGAAAGAGAGAGGCAGAGAAGCAGAGAAGCACTGGATTTTTCAAATGGATCTCAGTCATCTTCAGAGAATTCCAAGTTTCCAGACCCAGAGTGCACTGTCTGTAACCCAGGGAGCATTTCTAATGTCCTCAAAACTTCCTAATTGGAGGAAATCCGCACAATTGAGGGAGCGGCCTCCATATTTACTCGTGGCTTTGAGAGTTGGAGACTGTCCTGACAGAGCAGTGGAGACGGAGCTGTGTGTTTAGGAAATGCCCTGAGAGAGTGAACAGAGGCTCCCACAGAACCTTCTGGTGGGCCTTTTGAAATGTGACTCAGGTTGTCTGTCACCAGGGCAAGAACAATGTGTGTTGTTGACCCCTGTTGTCTCCCAGGGGTTGAGTGGCTCCTGAGGATGACAGCTGTGGCCCTCTGGGTCACACATGTCTCAGTGTTTAGTGGGTTTCCCCAGGGGTCTCAATCTCCTGCCATCCTGGTGCTGGCTTAGGGATGGTGCTGTCAGGGTACCCCTGCTCAGCTGGGGAGGGAGAGATTTGACTTGCATGCAGGTCTCTGGGACACTGTGACGTGGCCCAGGATATTTTCCCCAAACGCACTGGGCATTAGTGCTGCATTGCCTCGTGGTGCCATTCAGTGGGCAGGATCATGCCAGCATTGAGGCATATGCCAAGCAATGTGAGTTCCCGGGTCATGCCGCTCAAGTCCTGTGATCCTGGGTGAGACCTTAGCATCTATTCCCTTATCCCTGGGGGTCAACAATAGCACCTCCTTCATTCATTCACTTACTGCACAACGATTAGTGCACCAAATGCGAGGCCCTATTTTAGGCACCAAGGTGCATCAGTGAGCAAATGAGAAGATGCTCTGCCCTCGCTGGGTGTGGGGGGCGCACATGTAGTGCCGGCTACTTTGGAGGCTAAAGCAGGAGGATCATGAGCTCCAGGCTGGTCTGGGCAATATAGTGGGACCCTGTACCCTTAAAAGTAAATTTTTAAAAATCTACCCCCTTGGAGCCAGCAGGTGGCGTGGTGGTTAAAGGCGCTGGATTCCTGCACTGCCCCTGCAGTTCGAGTCCTAGACCTGGTGGCTGTCTTTTTTCCTTTCCCTTTCTCTCTCTCTCTCTCTTGCTGTCTCTCTCTGGTCAGATTAAAAAATAATAACAAATGGAATTAACTAATTATTTTTTTAAAAAGTCTACCCTCATGGAGCTGATGTTCTCATGGAGGAGACAGCCAATGCTCAGATAGCTCTCAGGGTGACAAATGGCATAAAGAAAAAGTGTGGTGGGCCAGCCCCTCAGCTGTAATGCAAGTGCCCTGCGAGGCTGGAAGCACATTCCCAAAAGAGTGACAGAGCCCTCACTGGATTCCTTGACCTGAACATGTCAGAGTTCTGTGTAGCTGGGGGCCTGGGGAAAGGGCATCATGGGTGACAAGACCCTGCCAAGAGTGCTTCTCTTGGTGTCTTTTTCAGTCTCTCTTGTGTGGGCATGCATTGTACCTTTTTTTTTTTCTTTTTTAATGAATTATTTTATTGGAGCTGGCAGGTAGCGTGGTGGTTAAAGGTGCTAGACTCCCCCATGGGTGACCATGGTTCAAATCCTGGACCTGTGACTTTCGTTCTCACTTTCCCTCTCTATGTCTGACCAAAGTGAAAAATAATAATAATAAAGTTAAATAATTCTTAAAAAAAAAAAAAAAAAGGAATTATTGGGGCCGGCAGTTATAGTTGTTAAGGTGTTAGACTCCCACATGGCTGACCACAGATCAAATCCCAGACCTGGTAGCTTGCGCGCCCCCCCCCCTTTTTTTTGGAGAGTGTTTTGGGCTATAGGGCGTGTGCACTCGCCAAAAAGACAGAGAGACAGAAAGCAAGAAATCACCCCCCAGGGGGGATGGCCACACTGCAATCCCTTCTCCTCCATTCTCCTCTTGGATCTTGGGCACACACGCACACACACCTGGTGTGAGTTTAAGCCACTGGGTCTGGACTCAAACCGTGGTTGACTACATGGGAATCCAGTGACCTAGCCATTATGCCAACTGCTGGTCCCTGTTGTACCATTTTTTAAAAGTATGGTAAGGTGATAGGGCCAGCAGTGGTGGAGTGATTAAAGCTCTGGACTCCCACATAGTCAACCACAGTTTGAGTCCTGAACCTGGTGGCTTGAAAATCACACTGGTCATGTGTGCATGTGTGTCCCAGGAGGAGAAGGGAGAAGGGATTGCAGCTGGCCAACCCCCCTTGTCACTTTTTTCCTCACTCTATGACAAACCTAATAATAAAAAAAGTATGATAAGGCAAGTTGGTGATTTGATGACTTGGGGACATTTTTCTCCAGAGATTTTTGCTATAGGGCATGTGTGCTTGTCAGAGAGAGAGAAAGCAAGAAACTACCCCCTCCCCCCAGGTCGGGTAGCCATGCTGCAGTCCCTTCTTCATTCTCCTCTTGGGATTTTGGGCACTCCTGTACATGTACACCTGGTGTGTTTCAGGTCTCTTGGTCTGGGACTCAAACCATTACGCAATCTGCTGGCCCCAGACTTGGGAATGCTTTTAAATTGGGTGAGATGATTAGGGAAGGCATCTTAGGAAGGTGTATTTTAGCAGAGATAGAATGAAAAAAGGAGGAAAACCATAGGGATGTCTGAATATGCCAGGCGTGGCCACCTTGCTGCTCCCTCTGCCAGGATTCCCCCAGGGGCCTATATTGCTTCCTCCCTCTCCCTATTAGGTCTTGACTCAAATTCATGGCCTGTGGTCTCTAAGGTCAGCATATAAGGAAACATCCTGAATGGCTAAAGGTGCTCAGAAAGCCCTTAAAGTCCACTTCACACACAAGAGAGAACCCACTTGAAATGACATCATGCCTTTGAGGGTGTGTGCCCCTGCAAGTATCCAAGATCTGGAGGGGAGAGGGGGGAAAGGGGAAGGGATTGTGATGTGGCCATACCCACTGGAGGGTGACTTCTCACCTTCCTTCTCACTGTCTCTCACTTGTAAGTGCACTAGCCCTATGGCATAAACCTCTGAAAAGGAGCCAAAAGATTGTGTAGCTACGTCTCTGTACTCCCACATGGCCGACCATAGTTCAAGTCCTGGACCTGGCGACTTGAAAATCATGCCAAGCACATGTGTGCACATGCCTGAGATCCCGGAAGAAGGAGTTGTGGGGTGGCCATCCTTGGGGGGGGAGTGATTTCTCACTTTCCCTCTCACTGTCTCTGTCTCCCTCTCCCTCTGGCAAGCACATGCACCACATAGTAAGGCAAAAACCTCTAAAAAAAAAAAAGAAAGAAAAGAAAAGACAGGCTAGCTAGTTTTATGATTTTTAACATTTCTGAGGTATTTCAGACCTGGAATTCATAATAATCCTCTCAAATTACCATCCAGAACAGGAATTGACCTTCTCCCGAGCTAATTCTCTGTATCGTTTTAATTTTAGTATATGTGCTGCCGAAGCGAGCACCTCCCAGAGCTAATTCTAACAGACAGAAAATTCTTCAATTTACCAGTGATGGGAAGCTCACCCTCCCACTCAGTCCAGCTTGAGGCCTAATTTGCACCTCCCAGTTACTGGTCCATGTGATCTGGCTCTACCCTAAGGGGCCATAGAACCTGAGTAGCGAAGATGTGGCAAGAGGGTCACAGATGTCAGCCTCTGGAGCTGGCAGTATGTTCTGAAGGCCCTGGGGAGCCATGGGAGTTTTCAGGGGCTTTGTGCTTAGACCCCACAGGTCAGAAGTCAGGGCCCAGTGTGGGGTAGAGGGGTTGGGCTGGGAGGGAGGCCTCAGGGAGCTGTGTGAGCTGGGGGCACTCCACTGATTCGCCTGGGGGCGTAAGGGAGGGTTTCCTAGAGGAAGTCAAGCCTGAATGGTGAAAACGCACTTAAAGAAGGGAATGGAAAGTCTCTAACAAATAGAAATTCTGCGCAGTCCGACCATGGCCCTTCCTTGCTCAGAATCCTTGCAGCACGCGGGTCCTTAGCGCCAACGGAAAACCCTTTTGATTGGCATTCTTTCCTTCTTAAAACGTGACCGAGCACCTGGCCCTGTTTATGCGTCATTGATCACCCTATCTTACTCCTCCAGAACAAAAAATACCAATATGAATTGAGCCTTATTTTCTCTGTAATTATTAGCTTCCGAGCATTAACGTTTTTCTTTACTTGGGAAAAAAGAAAACGAGCTTATTCCATCTGAAAGGCTTTGCCCAGCGCCTGGCACGGAGGGATTGTGACCAGAGAGCTGAAACATCTGCTCCTAACTGGCTTTTCTTGCGTGGTCCCGGAATATTAAAGGCTTCTGGAGAACCCGGGGTGCCTTCGCCCCCATTCATCCCGGGGTGGGGGAGCGGCCCCTGGTCCGTGAAGACGGAATTTCCTGCCCATTTGCTCCTTACACCTTCCGGAGGCCAAACGGACAGCCCAGCTGCGGCCCGAGGGGGAGGGGCGCGGCCGCCGGGCAGATGGCGGCATTTACATACAGCTGGGCCCCTCGGAGCCGCACGGTTCGCCCCGGCGTCTGGGGCGTCTGCGACGCGCGGTCTGGGAGGGAGGCTTTGTTTTGGGGGGCGGGGAGGGGGGAAACACACGGCCGTGCGCACACATGGGGGTCCGCAAACAGCCCGGCTCTTATCGAATCCACACGAGGCTACCGTGGTCCTCCCAGACCTCGCCTCGCTCCCACACGCACTCCGGGCGCTCACTCACAACCTACGTCGCAGACCGGCGTGCGGCCGGGGACCTCGCGCACCCGCACGCCCACGGAGAAGCGTCCGCACAGCCAGGAGGTCACGCGCACCTCCGTTCGCCCCACGCACACGCACCCTCGGAGTTCTTGGCGACCTCACAGTGCCAGGCACACGGGGCCCCGCAGTCCCATAGACACTCAGCAAGGCGTGCGCACCCTCCAGCGGCTCTCCCGCAGGCCACACCCACACACACCCGCACACTCACCCCGAATCCTGACATCATACCCGGCCTCGCAAAGGCACACCCCAACCCTCCCCGACCCCGGCCACGCACAAGGTCGCACCCA